CTGCTCGAGTATCTCCACACTTCCCCAAAAATCTTTCCCTGCAAACAAGTCCTTTGCCCTTTCAAAAGCTGTCTCTCTAGGATTTGGTTCTGCTTTTGTTGCATACAAGCAAAGGTCTTCCTCTGTATCATCTTCTTCACTGGCGGATGAAAAAACCAGAGCTCTCTAAGGGAGTTGGAGACCTGAATACATTTCCCTTGTGTCGGTCCAAGCTGGGGGTGTTTCAGGAGTGGACTGGCCAGTAAAATTTACCAAAAAAAAAAATGGACTAGCCAATAAAGGAGGGGGTCTCTAGTGGGATTAAGGAGTTTGGGTCGAGTTCCCTTTGTGGGCCTTGGGCTTCAATAGAGCAACCCAAAATCTCGAACCGGTTGGGTTCTGGTTCAGACTTAGAAAACTGGGTTTTGGGAGTATTTTGAAATTTGAAAGGGGAATCGAGACTATCTATCTTCCTTCCTTCAACATTGAGAGACTGTCCAGTTCCTTCCTTCAACATTGAGAGACTGTCCAGTTCCTTCAACATTTGAAAGAGGGTTCTGGTCTAGTTTCTTTAAAGGGGTATTTTGAAACTTGAAATAGAGCTCCTGCGCTACTGCTTGAACTCCCACTGCCAGCTTTTCTTCAACACTACGCAACCCCCTTGTTCAATCAGATTTCGGAGCTGCTAAGGGAGATTTGCCATGTGGAAATGTGTCGTTACAGCGAGTCAGCTCAGTGGGAGAGGGAGGTGACCCGTTCGTCTTCTCCACCTCCACTGAGGTAGAACCAAACCTCTCTATCCAAAATGGGAATTGATCGAGGGATAACTTGGATGCCATGGTTTTTCACCTTGATTCTAGCAAAGCTTTACTTAGAAAGTTTCGAAATTTTGTGGTCTATCTCTTCAAGGCCTCCGCAAAGATCTCCGATTAGGGAGAAGGTTTCCTTCGTCCAGAGGTGGACAAGTAAGCCTCATAGCTTTAACCAGCCTTTGAAACTCAACCATTCTGGGACTGGATTTATCTTTAGTAAGTGGGTTAAGGATTCACCATTTGCATAGCAAAGGGAACACACATGTGGGGATAGGCATTCATTCAACCTTCTTTTTTGAAGCATGTCACAAGTGTTCACCTTCCCAAGGAAAACCTCTCCCACCTCTAATGGTTGTAGTGAATTGAAAAAAGAAGCACAAGTAAAGCTACCATTAGGGGAGGTAGACCAAACTCTAATTAGGGGTGAGCATTCGGTTTATTCGGTTAAAAACCGAACCAAATAAATCGAAATATTAAAATGAAAACCGAAACCGATTTTCAATAAAATCGAAATAACCGAACCGAAATTTTAAGTTCAGTTTTCGGTTATTTCGGCTAAAAACCGAATTTAGTTATTATTATATATAATATTATATATTATAACCTATAATATATATTATTATAATATATTATAAAATTTAATTTCATTATAATAGATTATATATAATATATTAATATATAGATATATAGCATATTATATATTAAATAGTATACATTGTATATTATATATTATATAATGAATTTTAGCTAATTCAGTTTTTTTGGTTAACCGAATTTTTAAATCTGAAAACCGAACACCGAACACCGAAATTATTAAAAACCGAATTAACCGAACCAAATTTCTCAAAAACCGAAAAAACCGAAACCTAAATTTTCGGTTCGGTAATTTGGTTTTAACCGAATACTGCTCACCCCTTACTCTAATGCCCTCCACAAACCGAACCAAGAAAGCAGACTTGAGTTTATCAAATAACTAAAGGGACTCACTCGAAATCTTTCAACCCCCTTCTAAAACCAAAACCCAATTCAACCCGGAGGAGGAAAAGGTGACAAACCTCAAAAGATAGGTTGACACTTGTAGTTAGACACTAAATAAAGACATGGGAACAGGGAGTTGAGAGGAGTATCATCTACCCAAAGATCTTCCCAGGAAAAAAAAAAAGCTTGGCCCACAACCCACATCAAAGTTGATAAAGTTAATAAAAGTTGGGTATACCTTTTGAATTGCTTTCCAATGAGAACATGAAGTCGAACCTTTGCATCCCAGCCATTGCTCATCATCCCGTAAATGCTCTTGATGACCTTATGCCATAGCCTATCTCCTTTCAAAGGAAATCTCTATAGCCACTTTCCTAGTAGAGAAGTATTCCTAAGTATCAAGTTTCCTATACCTATCCCTCCCTTCTCTTTTGATCTACTAACTTAGTCCCACTCCACTAGATGATCCCTTTTCTCTTCCCGTAGCTCCCAAAGAAAATCCCTCATGATCTTTTCTAGTTGTCCTGCTATCCTAGATGGCATCCAAAAGGTGGATAGAAAATAAATTGGAAGATTGGATAGGGTTGCTCTAAACAGAGTTATTCGCCCTCCCAATGAGATGCAATTCCTCTTCCAAAGAGCCAATTTTTCAGTATCCTCTCTACCACAGGTTTCCAAAACACCTCTGATCTCGAGTTCCCACCTAGAGGAAGATTTAGATACTCCAAAGGCCACTGTCTAACCTCACACCCTAAATTCCCTACCAAGCTACTCAACTCTTTCCTCCTCCACCTTGATACCCGCTAAACAACTCTTTCCCCAATTTACCTTTAAGCTTGAAATAACTTCAAATGAGTTGATAAGCTCTTTCAAATTTCTAAGATTTCCTTGATTGCCTCCCTCACAAAAGAGAATGATATCATCTACTAACTACAAATGTGTAATTGTCACCTCAAATCTTCCTACCAACCTCTAAACAAGTTATTTTGATCAGCCCTAATAATCATTTTACTCAACAACTTCGCAATTAGGGTAAATAGGAAGGGAGATAAGGGATCTCCTTGTCTCCGACCTCTTTTTGCTGGAAAGAAATCACTAGCCACACCGTTTAGGGGAGAGATGGAGATTATGGATAAATGGTTGTTTGAGCTAAAGGAGCTTCTGTTACAACAAACTAAGTTCACATGGTCCGACTTACAAGCCTCCCCTCTATGCTCTAAGCTGGATAGGTTCTTGTTTAACCTTGAGCGGGAGGAACATTAGGAATGATTGTTGTCTAAAGCTTTGTCAAGAGTAATATCTTAAGTGGTCCTACCCCTTTTAGATTTGAAAATATGTGACTTACCCATCTAGAATTGTTTATAGAGTGGGGGATTGGCAGTGGGAAGAGTTAAGAGGTGTTTCTTAGAAAGGAGTGAAGTTTCATAGGAAACTACAAAAGTTGAAAGGTAATACCAAATTCTTTCATGCAATTGCAAATGGAAGGAGATGAAAGAATTTTGTGACAAAGTTGGAAGTAGATGGAGAAGTGTTTTTAAACCAAGAGGAGATTGTCAAGATATTTTTCCATGCCAAGTAGGTGATAGACATTTTGTGGATGGCTTTGAATGGCCTACCTTGGATGTTGATACAACTAGATCGTTGAAGAGAGATTTTGAAATGGATGAAATTAGGAGGGTGGTATTTTCAATTGATAGAGGATTAAGGCAGTGTTGCCCATTGGCCCCGCTCTAATCAGTCAAGCTCAAGGAGCCTTCTGTGCAAGGGAGAAAAATAACTGATTAGATCCTAATAGTCAATGAATGAATGCATGGAGGAAACGAGGAGGTCCAGCCAACAAGGTGTTGTCTGTAAATTGGATTTAGAGAAAGCTAATGACTTAGTGGACTAGACCTTCCTGCTAGAGGTTCTTAAGAGTTGTGGTTTTGTGAGAGATGATGTAATCGGGTGAAGGGTTGTATGAGTTACTATCACTTTTTGGTTTTGGTTAATGGTGTGGTTAAGGATTTCTTTCCAACTTAAAGTCTAATTTTGATGAAGAGAAAACTTCACGGTCAAGAAGGGGAAAATTTTGGCTTTACAGTAAATTTGATGGGCTTCAATTTTTTAGATTATTTTAATGCATTTTAATTAATGGAGGAAAAATTAAGCTACAAAAGAAAAGGTACCAACATGAAAAATACATGGCTTAAGTATACTTTCTGAAAGATAATAAGAGATAAACTCCAGGATTTGACACTCACACACAAAATCATCATGATTTTGAAGCTGGAATGAAACTGTTGAACATAGTTAGACTACTATTCTTTTTCAGCTGCTGGTAAATTTTGTCTGGTATCAAATTCAAAACTTTACAATACAATCAATTTTTTAACCATCTTCTAGAGTGTCATTAGTCAACCATAGCAACTGATGGCCATTGGAGAGGGCAATTCTCTAAGGGCAGAACTGTTGTCTCTGTTATACAGATTCTGTATTAGGTATTGTTTACTTCCCTGTCATTATTCTGTCCAATGTTCAGGGATAAAGTCACTTTTCATTAATAAAACATTTATGTTGCTTATCAAAAAAAGAAAGATAAAAAAGGCAATCGTAACTGATGCTTATGCCTACTATCATACTTCCCCCAGAGTTAACCATTCTCTCTTTCTTGCTTTCTTTTTTGTTTTTCTTTTTCAGTTTCCACGATCATGGTTGTCATTCTTTTTCTTGGTATATTTCTTTGTTTGCTTCCTACACGACAGCACTCAATTATCTGGAAGATACAGAGGACCCAAATATATAAATTTACAGGACAACTAATAAAGGAGACACCTGTACATAAACAATGATTATAAATTCAACTGGGTATTGTAAGCTCTTTAGATAACAATGATAATAGGAGCTGAACATGTGGGTTGGCCTTAGTTTAAGAATATTTCCAATGCATAATTTGTCAATGAAAATTTCTTATTTCTGTGTCAACGAAAGATGAATGTAGGGAATCTATAGAAAGCAAACCAACTCCCCTTTCGCACAGAAAATGGAGATACAAGCTAGAAGTGCAGTAAAACAGACAGAGAATTTTTACTAACATCAAATGGTAAAGAAGGCACCAAAACAAGAATAAAACCATTGTGTAATTTGAAACCAAGAACAGTATCTTTTTGCCTTAAGTATCAATTAGCACAAAATAAAGTTTATACAACTTCCCAAAATGAACTAGTTAAATAAAGATTGAGAGAGAAATACCTTTCACTAGTCCTAAAGATGGCTCCAGCATTCTCCAGCAAAATCTTCAGCAGCTCTAAAGCTACAATTTTTCCGCGCATCAACTGCGGATCATTCAAGGCCTCCTTGGGAGGTGTCTTCATTGAGAGTTTACAAAGTGCCCTAAAAACCAAGAAAGCATCCCGTCGCAGCTTATTACCAATCTGAACCTCCAAGTCATCATCTCTCTCGGTCTCACCATCCACCAATTCCCCCTTTCTCCCTTCCAAAGCAGTCTTATACATACTGATTTCCCAATACTTGGCATCCAACATGTCCTTATCCGTTGAATCCAACAAATCTGTCGGGTTAGTGGTTTCGACGGTCGTAGTCTCAAATGCACCATCATGGGCACCCAGCGATGGTTTCCCTGGGGTGGAAGGATTCAAAACCACATCAATGTCTTGCATGATCTTGGTAATGAACCCCTGGACAAACTGTGTCATGCTTCCATCCGTGTCGGACTTCTCTACAGGCTCCATCAGCTCTGCCACCACAATAGGCTGAACAGGAACAGTGGATGAATCAGCCTCCATTCTCCGAAACACAATGACCAGCGTTTGTATCAGAGAAGCCTTGGCAGTTGTCTGATTAACAACATTCTTGCTCCCCAAGTAGATATCATAACAAGTTCTAACGATCTGCAATAAGCAATCCCCGTGGATCCGCAATGAGATCGAAGTAACAGCTGAGAGCAGTGTCTTAAGTACCATCAGTTCAACCGCGTCATCGCCCAAGTCATGACACTTACAGACGGAGTCCATCATCCGAGAGAGAAGTTTGGATTCAAGCCCTCCAGAAGGATCCGCTTCACCACGAATGTAGCCATGGGCGATCAGCTTCTGGATGCAATCAATAGCCGGATCGGCAATCTTAAGAACTCCCGATCCACAAGCAGCGATCAGGGGACTGAGAATCGTTTCGGCCTCGGCGAGAGAGAATTCAAGTGGGCCACCGTCGTGCAACGGACCGGGAACTGAACTGTCCGGCTCAGCATCGTCGGGAGTAGAAGAAAACTTATTGGGAGAAGCTAATTTCTCGATTACAAATTTGCATTCATGAACTAGCTTGGAGTGTTTCCTCCAGGAACAGTTCTTGATGATCTTCTCTAGAGCTGGAGTAATTACCAGACTCAAACGGGAATCGGCTTCCGAAGAAGCCATTCCCGACCTAGACTAGCAGAGTTTCAGATCTGAAGAAGTGGAAACTAGGGCTTTTTCCCTTTTCTATATGAAGCGAGCAAACTTACATGGTACGTCAACGGCGATAGTTGAATTGAACCAGCAGCAGGGCGATGGCTGCTCTGTTTCTTTCTCCTTGTTCTCTTCTTTCCAATCAGCGGGAGCGATTGGGACCGTGTTGGCAAACTGAAACTCGGTGAAAAGCCAAAGCTAGACTAGGAAAGAAACGGTACAAGTCAGTCAGGTATATTATTTCTCCTCACATAAAATGACTAAAATGCCCCTCTATCTATGGATATTGACATATTGTGTAGTAGTATAGTGTGTGCACTGCAACTCAGGAGTCAGGAGGCATGAATCAAGAACCAAGGTGAGTTTGGGTGCGGATGGTAATATAGTGGGCAGTAGTATGGGTATTTTGGACAATTAAGTCTTGAACAAAAGATGTAACTGATTATTCAATTTATCAATAGTAGCAGTAGGTAATATAAAGAGGCCTTAAGCGTTGCAGGATGAAATCTGTTGACTGTTTTGGATTGGAGTTGGAGCCTGGAGGTACCGCCCGCCCGCCATGTCACGTGAAGTCTTGCTTCTTCATTCATGGTTGATGGTTCATTGGTTCCCGCTTCCCCGGCGGCAATGAGGCTGGACCGCTGGGGTGGTGAGTTCGCGAGTCGACCGTATCAACGGATTCAACTAAGCGGTTGGACCGCCACCGCGATTGAACCATGTAATGGACCCTTATTAATGAGCTTCTTTTCTTTCACTGACGTCCCAACTCGCACGGTCTCCAAAGCCCAAAGCCCAAGTTATATTCATGTCTAAGGCCCGTTAATTGCTTGGTGTTGTGTTGGTATCCAAATCCCCTGCGGAAACTGGGCCAAACGTGATGCCACATCATCCTTGTATATATGGACCCCATGTTTACGGAGCCGAAACGGTCTATCTTGATTGGCCCCAATTCATACTAATACCATGGATATAATTGTAGGGGATTCAAAATAAAAAAAGGACATGAAATAAAAAATTGATTAATAATATATTTATATGTATATTATTATTAAAAGTATTAAGGGGAGTATAGAAATTTTATTTGACTAAAATATCTTAATTTTTTTAAATTTGGCCCTTCTCTAATTGTATTTGTAAGGACATAAATGTAATTTGAACAATTTTTTCTCATTCAAATTCCTCTAAGTATGTACATTCTTTGCCCGTGGTAATTTTTTATTATGATGATGATAGTAAATAATATGTTTTCAAATTTTTCTATATTTTTATATTTTTGTTTATAAAAGTTATTCTTATTTGTCACACTCATTTTTGTTTAATATGATAAATATACAATATTAGAGATGCGCCCAAATGTTTTCTACAATCCTTTTGTATTTTTTATACTTTTTGTGTGTTTTCATATTTTTTTATCTTTATTGTTATTTAACTATGACATCAAGGGTTGACACATTTTGACCCAAAAAGTTGAACTGTTGACTCACCACCAAACATGAAAACACTTTCATTTTTTATTGGTTTTAAATTTGTATTTTATTTCTATCATCAATAAAAAATAATTATTCTTTGTCACATTATTTTTTCTTAATATGGTTAATTAATACATAATTCAATGAAAGAATGGAAATTAATACATTAAATATAAAACTTAATGTGAATAAATTGAACAAAGAGGGGTCAAATTCAAAAATAAGAGTATTAGTCAAAAATATGATTGAATGGATGTTAATGGGAGTTAATACCTTAAATATAAGATTTAATTATAGGGATTTGAATGAGAAGAAAAATTCTTCAAATTACATTTCTGTCCTTACAGTTAGAAAAGAAACAAATTAAAAAATTAAGGTATTTTAGTTACTTTGTTCTCATTTCAGAATACTTTATTTTCTCAATTTTATACTTGTATGTTCCAAGGCAAGAAGATTATAAAGCTTGTAATTAAATTGTGTAGTGACCAAATTCATAATTAAATTAATGTGGTGAGCTATTAATTTTAACTTTATAACAAGTCTTTGCATAAAAAAAAACAAGAAAATTACATTAGAAATTCATATGCATAAGATATTTGTCTTTTGTTTTTGTTTTTTTTTTTAATCTAAGGTTAAAACCCAAGGGATTTTTGCCTTTTCTGTTTTTTATCCAATAGTTAAAAGCTAATCCACTTTTTGACCCTAACCCTTTAACCCCTATAAGTATTTCATTCAATGTCACTAGAGAGTGTGGAGTCAATATGAAAAAAAAAATAGCTCAAAATATACAGTTATACTTGACGTTTTTTTCAATTGACCCCACTCACATATATGTAGCTTTGCCCTAACCTATAATGTTATGCATTTTTATACTTTCAGATGACCCAACCCATATATGCCACAAGGAAGCTATATGAACAAAATGGTTCTCTTAAAATGATTTTTTTCATATATATGGGTTGACCTGACCCGTATCTCCCATGTTATAGTCACAAAAATAGACAAAAAACTTTTTTCTTTTCAAATGGAACTTGTTGGATATATAGGTTAAATCACCCCGGTTGTAGCATTTGAAATAGAAAAAAATGTAGAAAAAGAAAGAAATCTATTTTGACTAGGCAGGTCAAATATGGGTGGGGTAAGGGTAGGTTGTGACCCACTAACGAGCATTTATAGTGGGTTAGTGGGTCAATATGAGTGGATTGGTACTCAACCCTCATCCAACCCCACCCTTTTTTGCCAACCCTAAGGTTATGTTTAGTTTGAAGGGATAGGTAGGGAAAGGATGGGAAAGATAGGGAAACCTTTAAAATGTGTATTGGTTTCCCTACCTTTCTCGTGAATTAATTACCTAAGTGTGAGAGCAACCACTTCTTCAAAATGGATTCGTTTTGGTTACAGGAATAAATTATGATAAGTTAGTGGTCTGTAGTATTTTATTATTTATTTATGGGAAATTGTCTAAAACTCACCATGAGTTTTCAACATTTCTCTTAAACTCACCACAACTTTTCAAAATGTCTAAAACTCACCATGTCAATAAGTTTTAGTTTTCCAAAACTCACCTTCCGTTAGTGCACCATTAATGCTTCTTAATAGAGGTGTCCATGCCAGCATAAATAAAAATTTTCATGACCAAATTACCCTTGAATGGTGAGTTGGAGGAAAATGGTCTTTTTCAGTTTTCAATTTTTTTTCATTTTTAGTGTTTTGTTATAATTTCCAATATTTTTTATAATTTCTGTTTTTTTACATTTTCTATTTTCTACAATCTATAATTTTTCCTGTATTTTTGTTCTTTATTTACAATTTCTGTGTTATTCTATAATTTTTGCTATTTTTTCTACAATTTTTATTTTCTGATTTTTTTCAATTTCTATAGTTTCTATAATTTGAAAATAATTTTTTGTTTTTCTTGAAATTTCTATAAACTTTCATATTTTTTGTAATTTCTATGTTTTTATGTATTTTATATTTGAAAATATTTTTTGAACTTTATTTTTTTTCATGTAAATATTAAAATGGTAATATATTAACACCCGCTAATTTATTTTGTATATATTTTATATTTTTCTTTGAAGATTAAAATGGTAATATATTAACACCCGTAGTCTCTTTAACGTCAAGTTAGTGACACAGTGAGTTTAAACATTTTGAAAAGTTGTGGTGAGTTTAAGAGAAATGCTGAAAACTCATGGTGAGTTTTAGAGAATTTTCCTTTATTTATTTATTTTGTTTTCACTTGTTGTGAAAGGAATTGATATTTACATTATTAGAGTGTGTAGTAAATCTCTCTCTCTCTCTTTACTATATTGCAAATGCGCACATGCTTTGCATGTGTTTATTTTAGATGATGATAGTAATGACATGTGTTCAAAGTTTTTTATAATTTTTCTTTTCTATGTGTACAAAAATAATTTTTATTTATCCCATTCATTCTTATTTAATATGATGAATATGTAATACTAGAGATGTGTATAGATGTTTAAAACAAAATTTTTGTTTTTGTTTTTTGTTTTTTGAATTTTTGTTATATGATTATAACATCAAGGGTCAATGCATTTGTCCCAAAAGATGAAATGTGGGCTCATACCAAACAGGAAAACAATTTCATTTTGGGGTCATTTTTAAATTTTGCATTTAATTTTCATTGTCAATGAAAACAATTATTGTTTATCATACTTATCTTTCTTTGACATAATTAACATAAAACAATAAATACGTGACCAAATTTATCTACAATTTTTATAATTTAAAAAATATTGTTTGACTATGACATAATGAATTGACCCATTGACTTAGATGGTTGAATTAATTATCCACCACCTAAATGAAAGAACAATTTCATTTTTTGTATGATTTTTAAAAATATGGATTTTATATTGTTGAAAGTATGGATATCGATCTAATTAGTATAATCCTTTTGTGATAAAAAAATAACATCTTAAATATAAGCTTTAATGATCGAAAATGAGAGTTAATACCTTAAATATAAAATTTAACAAAGGAAATTGAATGAAGTGAAAAGTAATAGTTCAAATGACATTTTTTCCTTTGCAATTAAAAGGGACCAAAGTCAAAATAAGGATATTTTAATAAAAAAGAAAAGTTATACAAGCTCATTTATACTTTTAATAGTAATGATATAAAATAAATATAGGACTTAATGAAAGAGAATGGGAATTAATAAGACTTAATGAAAGGGAATGGAATAAGATGAAAAGCAGTAGTTAAAATCACATTTTATGTCCTTGTAATTAAAGAGAGACCAAATTAAAATATTGGGGCATTTTAATCAAGAATAAAAGTTCACAAACATTTTTTTGCGCCTATCTTACAAGTTATAATGGCCTCGTGAGTTCTTTCTCCAGGTGCTCAATAGCTCAAGGTCTCTTTCCTTTGCTTCAGTAGTTTGGTCTATTGATGGGTTATTTTTCCTTCTTACTTTTCTTTGACTATTCTTGCTAATTGTAACTTGGTGGACTGTGTTATGAGCATTTATTAATGAAATTTGCTTTCAAAGTTTCATTCTCACTTTTAATAGTAGTATAGATATAGATAATATTGATGAAATTTGTCTTCTAAGATTGGTTTAGACTTCTAGAAAATGTCTTTTCAGAAGCCTTTATAGGAAATATGTTTAATGTTTGGACCACCATATAAAAAATCTAACCCATTTATTATACAATACATGCATCATTATCTCTTCGTTTTTTTCATCTTTTGCATGTGCATGT